GGGGGGAGGGGGGGGGGTAGAAGAACTACGTGAGCAACGTGAATGAGATGCAAAGGGTGAAGGAAGTGATATTTTATTACACCACGCACACGATTTGTAAATAAATGCATAAAAAATAACACTTTGAAGATAGGTTTAAGAATCTAATTTTGAATACTTTCTGAGAGACTTCTATAATCAATTACAATTCGGTGACATCTGAAGATTTGGAAATGAAAAGGAAGCCACTATTTTTACTTAATGATTCGTAAAAATTTTCATTAACTTAAAAATACTTTTAAGCATAGGAGTTTCTAAGCAGTGAAAGGAATCCTATTCAACTAGCTCCTAAAACAAACTTGTAATAAAAGTGTTTTCTCAGCATGTGGATAAAGATGCACTGCAAACAAAATTTGCTGGAAGAAGTGATTCTGAATACTGCACACTCTCTATGTCTTTCGGGCTTTCAAGTTGAATGTGAATGTGTTTCCTCAAATTTTCCGTTCCTGAAATGTATTGCTCGGGAAAATTCATGGAAAAAATCAGAAAGCCCTCAAATAGGATTAAACGTGAAATAAATATTCTCCACAATCTCAAGGTCTTTTCAAGTCAACTCTAACATTGTGCCTTTCACCCAAAGTTATCTATTGAATTATGATTATGCCAATAAGCCTAATTGGTTGGAAAATAAACACTTGATGAAGGTTAGTCAACTTCAATTATGACCTATCACAGCTTATAGGATTATACGAATGATGTTAAAAATTATAACAGCACTTTTTCATGTCTATTTTGTTCCATTTTCTCATATCCCCCCCTCTCCCCATTCCAACCCTTATAATCGTGGCATTGTGGGAGTGCCAACACGGATTTTCATTCCACCATAAATGTCAAAACAAAGACTGCGTGGCTATCACTCCCGACCCCTTCAATATTCCATGCAAAATTAGGCCTCAGAAATTATGCGTTGGAACTACAAAATTCAGAAATATCAAAGAGGATGAAGTTAGTTTCAAACCGCTCACAGGCTTGCAATAGTGAACCCTGTTTAACGTTATTCTCACTAGTATCTTTGGTATGATATTCCATTCAGTAAAATTAACTGGTCTAGGACATTTGAATTACATCGATACTAGTCCATGAATTTAAACGAAAGAAGTAAGCCTTGGAAAATAGGAGCGCTGGAATGATCATTAAATACTATATATATATTAGAAAATGAATAACTTCGCGTTTTGAAACTATAAACAAATAATTTAGTTCAAGTTAATTTACTATAATGAAGTAAATTTATTTGAACGCTTAATAAAAGCAAAAATATACCTTATTTGCCATTTTCTCTCTTCCCTCCACGAGATATCGCGGCTCTCCTTCGTCAGTGAAGAAGTGATGCGGTCGGCGAATTTTACGCATGACGCTGGATGGTGGGAGACCGAGAACCTCCATGATACAAGCTATCTGATCCTGTTCATCCTCTCCCGGAAAAACCGGTGAACCTGCAAAGTAATAAAATGGGGAATGGAGTCAAAACAACGGAAGATTTACCGGTAAGCAGCTCGACTGCAATGCAACCGAGACTCCACATATCGATCGCGGTATCATATTCGCATCCGAATATGACTTCAGGAGCGCGGTAAAATCGCGACTGAATGTAGACATAAATATTCTGCCCTACTCGGCAGCTTGATCCGAAGTCGATGACTTTCACATTCGTGTAACCCGGCCATTCCAGTAGTATATTCTCCGGTTTCAAGTCGCAGTGACTTATTTTATTCCTACATAAATATAGGAGATTTTTTTCTAAATCTAAAAACTCACTTGTGGAGAAATTGAAGACAATTGAGAATACATCGAACAAATTTTTTAACCAGCTTCGGGGCAAAACCACGATAATTATTTCGATGAATGAGCTGAAAGAGGTTGATGCTGAGTAAGTCAAAAACCATGTAAGTGTGGTCAGAGGTAGTAAAATGATCATTTAAATGTAGGAAATTAAACGAATCATTGGTGTCTTCACTTGACAGCATTTCCAAGATGGAAATCTCCTCCTCAGCCAGTTTTCTGAAGTTAGATATGTGTTTAATACATTTTATTGCACACAATTTGCCAGTCTCCGTGTCAATAACTTTGTAGACATTCCCAAAGCTTCCACGGCCAATTTCCTGTACAATCTGATATCGACTTTTGAGCACATCACCCTTATGAAGTTCGTCATTGCGAGAAAATTCACCAAGAGCGTGCTTGGAGGAACTATTACTGGTACTGTCAACGAGTGAGCCATGAAAGCCATTTGTTTCATTTTGCAGTTCTTTTGAAATCAGAGGACCTTCGGAGGTATTTCTAAATGACTTCGTATTCCGAAAATTGTATGATCGGTCAGAGTAGAGAGAGGACTCTCGTTTGGGTGAGTATTTACGCAATAACGAAGTGCTTCTCGTAAAATTGTAATTTTTTAAAGCATTATAGGTTGGAAGTCGATATTGATCATTGTTTGAAGTCTTCAACTGAGTCAGACGAACCGACTGCTGAACGTCGGGCTGCGAGTTCGTTCGTTTGTTAAAGGATGATTGAAGAGTGTATTTTGAGGAATTAAAGTCATTCAAATTTGAATAATTGCGTTGATGCGAGATTAATGGAGCGGTGTCAACAGAGTGGGAGAACCTCCGTGGAGATCGGGCAGGTCTTTGCCAATCACTACCCAACTAAGAAAAAGTATGATAAATGGGAAATTTTCATACCCTGACTCGGGACTCTTTATAGGAGTTTTCGTAGTTCTTAAGAGCTGATGAAAAATTCTCCAATGATCCCAGGGGGTATTCATAAGTACGGTAAAAACTCGTGCCTTTATGATAAGGTCTTCGTTGACGATATTTATAGGAAGAATTAGATATGTTATAGTTGCTTTGGGAACCCGGCAAGTAAAGGCTTGGAATAGCAACGTAGGCCATGTTTTAATATTCTTCCTGGGAAACCCTCCGTCGAAATATTTGTCCCTTTGATGTTAGTCATCAAATTCCCCCAGTCCAATACACGCGGGCGTTACACCTCGCAAAAGTGGCCAATCATAACCTCTATGATTTTTCTTCTAGGTCACGTTTGGCTATTTATTAAAACTATGCACAATATTTGTCATAATATAATAATTTAAAATAAAAAATCATTTAGATATTATTAATTCTCTGAATATTTTGCAGGAAATGTCTCAAATCACTCACTCAGTTAATCTTTATATCAAATTAATTAAAAATACATTACAATTTGACCTTTTACGTCCTTCTTGCGTCTTTACTGAACATTCTTCTACTGGTGCATATGAGATTAGATTTATCCATTTTATGCAATTTTGGAAAGCATATAACTAGTCCCGGCAGTTTACCTGATTTAATTCAAGAATTTCGCTGTGCTGTCTATTAAACCTGCCAGGATTCAGGACATTGACTTACTAACCCTTTTGATGAAGCTATTCAAAGCCCTAAGAACCACTAGTTTATTAGTCTTCCATCACTCATCAGATTTCTCACATGATAGCCACCTCACTTCAGAAAAATCTTTGATAATTTCGGTTTGGCCTTGTGTATAAAATCTCAACTTTTGTTCCAAACTTAAGTTCCTCACTGCCTTATTTGATAATCTCGCTCTTAATCCTGATTCTTTTTAGACAAATTCGAAATTGACAGATTTAATAGAAAATTTTTAATTTTTTCACAACCTCTAAAATTCGTACACGAAAATATAGACAATGACAATCAAGTTAGACTATAAAGGTCTGATCCACGCTTCAGAAGAGCTCCAATATGGTTCAAATTGTCAATTAGAATGCTCAATGTCCCTCCGGGGGTACAACGTTGGTAGAGAATGCTATCGTCTCCAGATAGCCCAATCTGTGCTGCGATTCCAGCAATCTCCTGAGTAGTGAAATTGCGGCTTCCGCCTGATTTACCCGCTTCGCGCTATAACAAAAAGAGATACAGATATATCGCCATATGCCAAACTTTTATGAATATCACGAAGTGTATAATACTATTGATTACCTGTAGAGCAGCAAGAAGACGTTTAGTCGCCGATACCCCAGTGGAAGAAGCGTTTTTGCGTTTCTTAATTGGCGGAGCACTGGGACTTGAAAATGACAGTGACGTTCCGTATCCAGTTTCCATCATCAAATCGCACACATCTTGAGCATCCTGCAAAATGAAATAAAACGATTAGATGTTTCATTTATCAGCATTGCAGTATCAAAGTTCGACACAGCTACAAAAGGAAGCCAGTCGACTCCGACTCCGAATATTTAATGAAATGCAGATGATCAGACAGAAAATTAAGGAGACTAATAAATTCCTGGTAGGCAATCTGCTAATAACATTAGCGTGAGTAGCTGCATCTCATGAGTAGGACTTAATTGGGGGTGATTCCACAGCCACCTCTGTACCTTCCTACTTTTGTAGGAGACAATTTATTGCAATAATGAAGTGGGGCAAAAGGTTTCCACTTGCATGAGTGTTAAACCGCAATTGCGTAGTAGGCAAGCACACAAGTTGGCAAATGGAATGAATTATTGGGTTGGCAACTAAGTCATTGCCGTTTTTGTTGACAGATTCACTCTATACTTTCTTTTGTTTTGTTAACGTGACCAGAGCATCTAACCTACATTTTTTTTCTTACTGTATGGGCTTCTAGGTTAATTAGTAAAAAATTTTTTTTGTTTAATTCTTTAGTTTTGTTTTTATCCCACTTTAAAAATGAAAGAACAGGACGTGCACTTCCGACACATTTATTGTATTACTTCCGAAAAGGCCAGAACGCATCGCAAGCACAAAAGAAGTTATGTGCCGTATATGAAGATGAGGCCTTAAAAGAAAGGCAATGTCGAAATTGGTTTGAAAGATTTCGTTCCGGTGATTTTTCACTGAAAAATTCACAACGATCTGGCCGCCCAGTCGAAGTGGATGAAACCCATATCAGGGCCATTATCGATTCAAATCGTCACAGCACAACACGAGATATTGCAGAGAAGCTCAATGTGTCGCATACATGCATTGAAAAAAAATTAAAAACCCTTGGTTATGTCAAGAAACTTGATTTATGGATCCCTCACCAGTTAAAGGAAATTCATTTGACGCAACGGATTAGCATCTGTGATTCGCCGCTACTGAACGCAATGAGAATGATCCATTTCTGAAGAACCTAGTTACTGGCGACGAAAAGTGGATAGTTTATAACAATGTTACTCGCAAGAGATCATGGGTGAAGCAAGATCAACCAGCCCAAACAGTATCAAAAGCAGAGATTCACCAAAAAAGATTATGCTGTCAGTCTGGTGGGATCACAAAGGAATTTTGTATTTTGAACTCATGCCGCAGAACCAAACGATAAATTCAAATGTGTATGTTGAAGAACTCGAAAAACTGAAGGATGCAATTGAAGATAAGCGCCCGGCATTATCAAATCGGCGGAAGGGTGTTGTTTTCCATCATGATAACGCAAGGCCCCACACATCTTTGGTTACTCGGCAAAAATTATTGGAACTGGGTTGGGATGTTTTGTCACACCCACCATATAGCCCTGACCTTGCGCCTTCGGATTACCATTTGTTTCCTTCCATGCAAAACTCTTTAAATGGTAAAATTTTTAACAACGCGGATGATGTCGGATCACACCTAATTCAGTTTTTTAATGGCAAAGACCAGACATTTTACGAACGGGGAATTTTTACTCTGCCAGAACGATGGAAAAAGGTCATCGACAAGAACGGCCAATATCTAATTGAATAAAGTTATATTTTTAAACAAAAATTCCGAATTTGCCCTCTTATTTGAAATCGGCAATGACTTAGTTGCCAACCTAATAGTAACACAAATAACTGGATAGGGATTAATAAAACTCATATGAGCTTATAAAGACTCGTTCTATGATTTGCAACAGGAGGGAAGTTAAAGTGATCCAAGAAGAAGGTTTGGAGTTTCAGTTACTCAATGGAATTAAAGGATGCCACTTACAATGCTAACAGCGAATAAGTTAAAACTGGGAATTACATGATAAAATTAACAAATTTGCTCTTAATTTTTTCGCCTAAAATCCGTAAGTAAAGGACATTCTGATTCCAAACTGAACCCAAAGTAAGATCCCCTAAGTGTCTATCAAGAAATTTAAAATTCCAATTTACATGACTGAGTAACCAGCATATTTCTGTATTAGATTCCATTTTCAATTTTCAAATATTCAGAATAAGTTGTGGTAACCCTAGAACATGCATGACGCTAATTATTCATTCAAATTGTTTGCTCATTTGCTGCAGATATCCGCCTATTAACCCTTTAGGCTTAAATGGTCAAGGCACTACCTTTGCATCCTTAAATGATCAGCCCATAACCCAAATATTTTATTAATGAGGTTGTAAAAAGGCAGAAGATCTCTAGCAAGCTAATTCATGTTCCGAATAAATTTCATAAAGCCAACTTACTCATAACCTCCCCCCCCCCATACAAAGCGATGACTTACCTCTTTTGTAATCTCCTCCCTTAACTCAGCACGGGCTCGAGCTGATGACAATCGAATTAAGGACTCCAACTGCCGAATGGTTACCTGGAACAGATCTCTCTGCTCTTTTCGACGCTTGCGCAAATTGAGATAAAATTGGTGAATAAACTGAGCGGCTTCCGGAGTCATTCTATAGCGGAGAGAGGAAATGCAACACATACAGTATCTGTCACCAGTGCCTACTCAAATAGTATAAGTAGAGTGAACAAACTTCGGATGAACATAGGCCTTGGCGTATGCAATGTACTTGCGAAGTAGATGACCTGGCACCAACTTTTGATTGCTATTGCCAACACGCAAACGTGATTCCAAAGGAAGACTACTGGGATCCCCTTCATCCTTTAGAGTTGATGAAAAGGACGTAGAGGTCTCAAAACTCTCGCGCTTTATTTGACGACCCATATGAAGCGCCAGAACATGTTCAGAGAGCCTCCGATCAAGATTCTCAGAAGGTCGATCAGGCAAAATAAATATCAAATCAAATCTACAGATAAGCAAATAAACAGAATATACAAATTACCTTGATATAAGCGAACGGTTGATGCGGACATTTTCGTAGACAGTTTTAGAGGGGTCATATTGTCCAACCACAGGATTTGCAGCAGCTAAAACGGACGTCCGAGCAGCAAGATTACATACATAACCACCTCGAGCAACAGACACAGTTTGCTGTTCTAGTACTTCCAACAAAGTGGCCGGATCACACGAAATCTTGTCAAACTCGTCGATACAACAAATACCCTACTACTTATATATAATGAGCAGATGTGTATACCTGATCAGCAAGAACTAGTGCTCCAGCTTCCAGGCCGAAGGAGGAACTATCGCGGCATGCACTAACAGTGAGACCGGCCGCTGAAGTGGTGTTTCCACAGACATAAATCGCTCTTGGAGATATTGATGCCGCTGCTCGAAGAAGTTGACTCTTACCGATCCCCGGATCACCTGAAATAGGTACGTACCATTGTTGGGGACAACTTCTGGGCATTTCTTGAACTCGTCTATTTGGTCTGTTAGCTTTCTCTTCTTGCTATGCTTGAATTGAAAACTCTTAATGTTTTTGCTGTCAAAATGCTTCTCCACGATTAGTCTAAACATATATTTTTTACTCCCATTGGGGAAGGGGCTACCAATTCCCATCTTGAAGGGGGGGGGGAGGGGGAGGATGGGGGAGCACATTTAATCACCTTTCGTTAGTTATTAATCTCAACCAGCTCATGTGGTCATTACGTTCACTTGATGGGCATCGAACCCATTAACCGCTGGCCTAGTAGGAGAGAAAACGGCCAACACACAAATTATGAAGGTTTCAGAGTTAAAGAGATTCAAAACAAAATGATTACCCCTTAATAAATAGGATTCATATGCGCTGACGCATATTCTCAAATATGAACCAATGAGGAAGCCACAAACAATTTACCCAACGCCTCCTCTAATCTATTACTGACTAATTTCTACGTACCAACAAAGAGAACATGTGAAGAGCACCTTCGAACGGAAATTTCCTCGTTTGAAGTCATCATAGCCTCGTTTTCCTGCTCCTCTTCCTCAGAAGAAATCGATAAATCAGGAGATTTCTCCCTAACTTTGTGAGAATTTGGATTAAGTAGAGACCAGGAGTTCGTTGATGCCCCGAAGGTGGCAAGTAGGATAGCCATTTTGACAAGTTCACGTCCACAAATTGACGGACAGAAGGAAGCGATAAGAAGATTGAAGAGATTCGACTCCTCTGCTATTCCTCGAATTGCATAGAGATCATTTAGTGAGAAATGCGTATCTGAATCGAGAAAGTGAGGGGATTTCAAGTCATTTTAGATTTGTGCTTGGGAGAAATTGATTCTCAAACCTTAAATAAAAATTAGTCCAATGCAAATGTTGTATTTGGAACTAGTAATGACATTAGGCCACACTACCAAAAAAGGGAAAGTAGCATAGCACCCCAAGGCAATAGAATGGAAATACCCAATACTCGGGTGACACATGAACAAATAGAATTACAAAGTAACGCATCCACACAAATGTAAAGCCTTACGCACACACACAGGGAGTGGAGTGCACTCATTGCCCAGCCAATGAAAATGCGGATATAACAAGACGAGCACGTGGTCTACGGGAGTTAATTAGGCGGATAGGGCACTTAATGGAGAGAATCTATGTCCAATTTAGCAGTCAATACCTTCTCAATTCCAACTGTGAAGTCCAGTTCGACAACTTTGTACATTTAGCTAAAAACAAAGCCTCAGTTTCATTGAGGTACCTCTGGAGTAATATTATTAAAAAATCTACATTAAATGACCTCTCCATCGTAGCTAAAACCCTGAGAACAGGTATTAATATCAATGGATGCTCATCAATGAGAATCGGTTTCGTAAAGGTTAAGGAGAAGCACTCACATTACCCTAGCCCATCCCCTACTCACACACCTTGTTTGCTGTGAATCAATACGGTAATTCATTAGGTGCGAACTTGAGATCTTTACATGTCAACCACGATGCATTTGATAGAGAAGACCAACGAAGCTCATCTTACCTCCACTTTGAACCTCATTGAGTTCGCTTACATTGACCTCAGTGATTCTCTCATTGACGTGGGAATCTTGTCGACGAGTAGTGAGGCATTGGATTCCCACCTTATTGCAATCACCATCTTCTCCAGCGCGGTTGAATATTCTAGTAAGGTTATTCACCCTTAGACAGAGGTTGAAGACATTGCCTCCTTTACCCCCAGCCGCCACCTCGTATGTGGAGCCTAGGGGTCGACGATTGTCTTTCGAGAATAAACCGCTCCCAACGCTGGCATCCACTGATGAAGAAAGAAGGCTCACCACACCACATACGTGCACAAAGTCGCCCGGAACACAACTTTCCACAAGGTCTCGATCCACAAAGCATGTAATGCTCCGGGGAACTCGACCGGTTGTCGATTGCTGATCCTGATTACTGTCATCCTCATCCGACTCTTGTATCAAAAGCGTCTGAAAGTTAACCGTCAGAGTCAAATAGTAATATAGTTATATGACAACGTATGCACTTTTATTGGCTATGACATCTAGGATCTCAAAGACAAATAAAGAAGCATGTAGTAGCTGCTCTGAAATGATCTTAAGGGGATAACTTATCATTAACTTTCTCTCTCGATCAGTTGTGAGTGCCACAATCGGGAAATTGGTGACAAATCCCAAATTTGAACTCTGGAACGTTACACCGCAAATCTGCAAGTAAAATTGTTTAATCAGTAAGAAAATCGGCTGAATACTTCCAAAATATGATCAATTTAATTATCTGATTTCATTTTCATTTCAACATAATTCTCGCTCTCAGTTTGACATGTGAAGAGGTAATTTAACGGACTTCTTTCAAAAGCTCTTCCGTCTTAGAGCACCTTCGAAATATCCGGATAGTTCTCCAAAACTAAAATCGTGCGCATAACACTATGAAAAAAGAAGGAAAACTTCTGTCACTGTTAAGACATCAAGCAAGATGAGAAGAAAATCTTTGACAAAAGAAGCTCCAGAGCAAATCATACCCGTGTATCAATCACCAAGGTAGATGGTGACGAGTAAATTGGGTGGAAAATTCTCGAGCGACAGCCTTTTTCCGGGCACTTCGTGGGAGTGGCAAAACATCCGTCATCTTCAATCACCAAGACCTGTTCAGTTTCACACAGTCCACAACGAAAACAGAGCCTGCAACACAATGGACGAATCTAAATTTTTATTTTGAGCTTAATTCAGCCTAGAACTTACGGGTCCAAGTCGCGCAACAGTTGCTCGAATTGAAATAAGATCGCCCAGATGGTGAGCACGTAAACTTCGCAAAGGGGTTGGAGGGAAATGATCCACAAGTCGAGCGGCAATATACGGCAACTTTACCTCTCCATTCTGATCAACTAACACAAAGTTTGAGATAAAGTAGCCAACATACGGGGATTTGTGTTGATACCATAGAGTTTTTCAGTTGCTACTGTGTGAACTGCAAGCCCCAACGACAATATCATCAATTTCGAATCAAACTTGTTTTCAGAGTTTGATTCAGGAAGCCAAGCATCTAGCTTTTTGGCAAGCGTTGGTGAATTTTTTAAAGAACTGAAGTCAACATTCATAACCGGATTCTCCTCCAGAGCTGCCCAATTAATGAAAGACGGAGAAGTGTGACTTTCTGAACCTTCACAACAGCATTCACCTTTTATGTAATCAATAAAAGCCTATAATTAAGTTTGAATGAAACTATATGCGTACTTTTGTGTATTTTACAGCATTACTGTCAGGTTCATACACAGTAGCGGGAAAATAATGCAACCAACCAGGCAATTGAGAAAATTTTGGTTTTTTAACTAAGACGGTCGGCCCCTTCTGTGATACGGGCAGATTTTCGGCCACAAAAGAATGATTTATAGTCGAATGTGAGGTATTTGAGGAACGACAGAAGCCCCCACGGCCACGATAACGCCAGTAATTATTTCTTTTATTCGTGTTAGACTAAATGGAAAAGAATAAAACATAAATGTATCAAAGTTAAGATAACAAATTTATATATAAATAAAATCAATGCAAGGCATTTATAAACCATGAATTATGCGGTAGAGGCTCTATTAGGAAAACCGAAAATTATCCAAACAATTAAAAAACGTATTGAATTAAAATGCCGCATTGTATTAATTTATCAAATAAAGAATGTAATCAACTGATAAAATACTCCATCTACCATGTAAAATTTCACATAACACCCAAATTATAGGTTATCAAGTAGTCCACCAATCAACGGAGAGCTCAGGCTCGTTCAATCAGACGCCAACTATTTATTCAATGAAATTTTTCAATAAATTGTTGCTTAAAACTATTTGTAATTAGTTCTGAAATTATTTTATTTGCTACTTTACTATTAAAATTTCTTGAATAAATGGTTGAGCTTCTGATAATAAATTAGAAAACTAGTAATAAGCGTCGGTATATTGTTACCGAAAGTATACTGTAATAGACTTACTTCCATATGGTGCACCCTGGACAACATATACTTATACCTCAAAAAATTATATAAACTGGCATTTGACTTCAAACTAACATGACCAGCCCGAAACGTAAATCGAATAGGAAAGATCGTCCTCGTCAGGCGAATCGCATTATCTGTAGATCCTTCAGTGGAATGCTGGAGGGATGTCACAAGACAAGAAGTTTCAAATCCGGAAAATTCTGCACACATATTTTATAGACATATTCGCAATCATGGAAGTCAACCTTACAGATAAAACTCACATGCTCTCAGTTCCCAGGTTACACAATACATTTGCTATCGAAAGACCGGCAAGCAGCAAGTGGCATATTGACCGAAGAGAATGTGACTGCGTGAGAAACTACTGCACATTCCCAGTGGCACATTCTGCAGCACCTACGAAAATAGACCAAGTCACCTAAAAGCACAAGCTGGACCATTACAGAAAGAAATAGAACTGAGGAAAATATCACAAACTGTTAACAAACCAGAAAGCCTCTATTTACCCTCCAAAAACCCATTAGCAGATATCGAAATGCGATTTTTCATCCGACTTCTTGGCCATTCCATGAAATCGGCCACCCACCAGATCAAATGTGATTATTGGCCCTAGACACAATTAATGCAAACTATCATGCAGATCAATGGCTCAAGGTCGAGTCATAAGTCGAAAGCCAAGCAAACGTTGGTTTTTAATGTTACCTCTGAGCTATTCTCTTTCTTCGCAGCAGCGGGACAAAATTGATCTTCATTAGAAGGATATATAGAGGCCATTAAGATAGCACTACTCTAATTGTGCGGCCAGGGTACTAAATTCACCAACCCAGTAATTTTTTCGGACTCGCAGCCAACAAAGCAGTCAATTGGAAACAGAGAACTGCCCAAAAGAGATGAGATACACGAAAATAAAAACTGTTTCAATTACTCAGAAAATAGAACAATAGTTCTTCAATGGATACCTGGGGACTGTGGTATTATAGACAATGAGCGCGCTGTCGTGCTTACTAAGAAGGGGACCACAATTTTGCTAGGTATAGACCGACCAATGTTTTTCCACATAAAGAAGTTCCCAATCAGGAGAGAATTCAAGACTTCAAGAATCAACTAACTTAAAGCCCTAACAAAGGAGAAGCAACGAGAAGCGTCACTCTCCAATACAGCCGTCTGTACACGCTTTTCGATAAAAATAAATTACATACACATATATGGTCGCAATTTTCAAGATGAATATTCATACTTAGCACATACTGTAATATTTCAGCACCTATAGCACTTCGCTAAAATTTCAATGCGTCTTTATTCCATTACACTGCCTCCCTGATGATTGAAAGGGAAATGTTTAAAGGTTCATCTGTATTAACTAAAATCAGAAATTAGTACTTTAGGAATGGTGTGTGATATACTTACCTCCACGTGGTACACCCTGGGCAACGTATACTCATACGGCCAAAAAGTCTATAAACTGGCAGTTGACTTCTGATTCCTAACTACTATCACCCCACTATATGCCATATTTCACCATTTCAGCAGATCTCGCCTTACATTTGTGCCTGTCTGTCTCTTTTACCTCTGTGAATCATTATTCTATCCCCCCCCCTCTCTCGACTTTTTGTCACTTTGATGTTCCCCCTCCTCCTATGCGAATCCTGAAGTCAGCTAAAGGGCTACTGATAACTAACAAAATGCCTGCCATTTGAAATAAATAAATAGTACTTTCGGAATTAATTTTACTTGCCTTTCAAAGTACTAAAAGTAACAATTAAAACCCCATAATTCAATTTGAAATGACGAATAATCAATATTACTTAATTGCATACAAGAAGCGATGAATTATTTAAAAAAGTAAGTTCAGTCAAAAAGAAACACAATGAATTGGTGATAAACGTTCCTCAGTCAAACAAATCCTTCACCTCATCTTCATACAACTCCACATAGGACTTTGGAAAGCGGCCGGATTTGCCCTGTTTCGTTGTTCCCCACAGCCATTCGTCGTCGAATTTGCAAATATTCGTTAAACGATCACCCGGTCGAATGGTAATTTCATCATCCAAAGCTGATAAAAAGAACTTATTATTCCGATAGTTTCATCAAGTTAAAGGTGTGAAGTCTCCTTCTTAAATACCTTTTTCGAATTTGAATACACAAATTCCTATGAAATCATAGCGCCCATCGGTGTCAATGTCAAAGTGTTCTGTTGAAGAAGATACAGTTGTTGTGTTGACGTTCATTTCATTTACTTGCGCGCCACACTGTAAGAAAAAAAGTGTTCGATTGTTTTTTTGTTTCAAACAGTTAGATAGCAGTGGTCGTTAAGTTAACAAGTCAAATGGTAAGGTTTTAAAGTAAATTATTACAGATGCTGTAGGAATTGAGCACTCAGTTGTGGAGGATATTGTCTAAAATTAAAAATATAAATATCTTTCAATCTTATATAAAGGCATCAAACTTGTGCAGATCAATAAAAATGGGGAGGAGGAATACACAAGTCCAAGGTAAACATTACCAACGTCATTTTAATTTACAAAGAACAGCAAACAGAACAAACGATTAAGCCGTCAGCAATTGCAAGTTTTAGTCTACTTAAGTCAACAAATGCCACAGCTTAAAATTGAGAGCTTAGATTTTTGATAGACATCCCAAAATAGGCTTGTGTTGACGACAAAGCTACTACTCCTTCTCACGATTTTTAATTATCATTTCATGTGACTCCGCTTACTAACACTCCAGTGCGAATAGCTCTCTCAATCAACTAATAATTAAAGGTAAATTTTAAGCCTTTAGGGTACCAATGCAAATATGGTTAATCCGGAAATACTTATCGTAAAGGAGACAAATGTGACAATATATAACTTTACTGCTATTTAAAAGTAATACAAAGAATTTTAGAGTGTACAACGCCACCAGGGTTGACAAGTGGACACTCAAGCAACCCTGGGCATAATGGAAATGCACATGTGCGATCGATTGCGTATCGATTCCCTCTCCCAGTCACTGAGAGATCAATGCCACACACAGACAAGCTTTAACTGAACTCAATTTCATGGCAATTTGTATAGTTACAACTCAACCCACATGATACCTCCCGTGTCCCAGGAAATTTGGGAGTAGCCTGGCTATAGGACCCTTGTTTGCAACTAGATGGGGACTTCAAAGTGGTTCCAAAAAGTTTAGCCAGGGGCTTATTTGTGTATTACTCGCTTCAGAATATTCAGCTATTTGTAAGTTAAAACACTTTACTTTAGAGTGGGTATGTAGAAAAGCTGCAAACATTGAGACGCACCGATTTGGAAACATGTACAGAAGTTTTCGACGATCTTTTCAAAGGCACCTAAAAATTAAATGATTGCATTAACTAGTGAATTGGACTGTCAACGAAGCAGATAATTCGCTAGCAACCTCTTTGTCATCTTTCTCTTCTCGATAAGCTGGCATGTTTCTCAGTGCGATATCAGATCTAAAATCCGGACGTTCATAGTTCGAACCCTAAAACATGACTTGCAAAAGGAGAAGAATGTAATCTAATCAATGAATGTAAAAATGAATGAAACAAACCTGTATTGCATCAATCGAGTCGCGGGGCATCGCACGAGCTGCTTCCAATTCTTCCTTAAAATTTACTGATTTATAGGAGGAATTCTAAAATAGGAAAATCTAATTTTAAAAATTTAACAGTATTTCAATGTTTTAATTATTTTATTATGGTAATCTACCATTTTCTGCGCATAAAGAGCTTTGATTCGTGCGGCCACAATGCCCTTAAGAATGTTGTCAGAGTTTGATGGAGTATTCGAATTCACAGAATCCAACTCGTCATCATTTGAAGAATTTTTATTACCTGACTAATTAGGTGAATCGAAACAGAAGTAACCAGAAATATACAGTTCTTCTATGGTTGATAGTTAAAATTTAAAAAATAATTGGCACTGTGAGAGCTTAAACTGATGCCACTAAACTACCTTATCATAGATTCCAGCAAAGACCTTGCCACTTATATTGGTCCAATTTATATCATTCTTTTCTCGTGCACTTATTCGCAGATGAATGGTCTAAAATAGAATATATAACCCAAACGGTTTATAATACTGGCAAACAAAAAGAAATATAAAGAAACTTAGACCAAATAAAAGTAAACAACAACAAACGATAAAATAGGAAAAGAAATGAATGAGATAATTATAATTGCTAAGTTATTGGGATAAAATTTAAAAGGTTAGCAAACATGTTTACCTTGCATAACTTGGTTATTTGTTCACTATTCTTAATATGTTCGATGGTCCTCTTGGAGGATAAAGATCCAAGCTAGCTAGTATTCGTAGAGTCTGTAGTGTACTTACCCAAAGAATATAGACATATTTTTGAATTAAAGCCGACGCGTTATAAAGTCTAGCATAACCATATAAAAAATCTGACGGCTTTGCATGATTCGTCATCTCTTCAATATCGTCTCCAGAAGATTTAACCACAATGGTATTTTTTGATCCAGAATATCCCAGCCACAACCTTTAAATATTCCACTAAGTTAAGCTTACCATGACTTTAAGCCATTTTCAATGGCATAAAATGCTTTTTTTATCTGATTTTCATTAGTAGACAAATCTAGCATAGTAGAAGCAGGCTTTTAAAATCGCGCCAAACCATATCGTCCTTGAGAAGAACATTTTAACAAAATCAAATAAACACTAAGCATAGTTATTGGCATAAGGGATTATTGAAAATCCTAAGTTTGCGCAGAAATCATTTTAAATATACTAAATTAATTTACCACACTGAATAGTGGCCTTGTCTGGATAAGATCCTGCCCACAACCAGAAACGCCACCCAACACACAAAACGACCGCGACCTCAATCACCAATGATTTATTTACAACCAACACACAAACATGGTAATAAACAGTATCTACACAAAGGACTCTGAACAAGAGCTAAAATACATTTATTTAAGTGGAGATAACTCCAGTAGATTCATTGGTACTAGTAGAAGCGCCCGACACTCCTGAGAGATCGGTCGAGTTACGATTACCAGAGGACTTTCCCGGAGCAACCCACTTGAGCTTGTTAGCAGTAGGTATATTAATGGGTGTTGTGTGAACAAATGGACATGTGGCACGATTTAAACAGCTAGGGCCGAACCGACAGAGTGGCATTGAAGAAGGATGGAAATAGGGACAGGTTCCCGGTGGCATTTTACAATGGGGATAGTAGCGACAGATAATTTTTGGGGTCGGCGGGGTAGAAACTGTATCGGCTAAAAGGAGAAAAGGAATTTCAACATTATTAGCGAAAAAGAATAAAATAATTGTATGCTGGACGTTTAAAAAATGAAGTATTTACATCAAAAAATAAAACATTGAAAATCAAAGGACTTTAAGCCGCTAGTGAGTAAGGAATACAATAAAATAGACCTTGACCAAATAACGAAAAAGATAAACATTACCACCTCATTACATTTTAAATCATTAGGCCAAAATAGAAAAAAGACTAGACTAAGCCAACAAAATCTATTCACGGTTAAACTGAACTCAATCCTTTATGCTCGTGACCTAATACTAGCATCACTTAAGAAGGCATCATCTGCGTAGTTATATATCAATTTTACATAAAATATCAAAAAACAAAACCTAATCTGATGGAGAGGAAGCCTAAATGAGATTAATTTGCAATACTTAAAAGAAAACAGTTTGTGACAAAAAGATGTGTACTCAACCTATCTTCACTCAGCTGTGGAGCTGAATGCTTTTAATGGTGTGTAATGCTTACCTAAATACTAAATGAGCAATTATCTCCAAATTCAGAAACTACTTTAAGGAAACTAAAAGTATGAAAAGAAATGTTTCAAAAGGAAAAAAGTCATACCAAATATTGTATAATAAAGAAAAGCTCTGTATTTTTTGCTGACTACAGTCAACAGGTCTTCACAGAGATATTCCACAGGCGATCTGCACGAACATTTCAAAAAGACGAGAAAAACAGCATACCGAAACTTAAAAGTGGAACAGAAACAATGAGGACAAGTTTTTAAAATAAAAGTGACACAAATATGAATTACCATGCAAGTTCACACATCATCAATTAGTATTAATATTAATAGCCGTTTGAAAATGTGATCAATCAGTGATAGTGCTCAGCATTATTGCCTTTAGATAGAAAGAAGGGATCAACCTCAATGAGTTAAACAAATTGAGATCACAAATCGATACAAATGCAAGAGGTTACATAGAATTGAAAATACGATAAAGGGATTACATAAGGTGATGAAAACTAACTAAAAATTGAAAATTACCTAACTTCCAGATTATACTCCACTGCCTTTTAAACTTGCTTAACAAAACTCATGTTTGATAGTGCAAAGAAATACAAATTTATCAGAAGTCATGATGAATGGGAATGCATTTGTTTACAGCATTAAATCAAGTAGAGTAACGTACTTTGTTTCGAAGGATGAGTGAAGGCACAATCGAGGCGAGAACATTGAGAGCCATAGCGACAGGGGGGATGAATGTAGAGACAGCGGGTGCCGTATCTGCAGTTTGGGAACGATTTACAATCCTCTTTGGGGTGAAAAAATTCACAGTTGTCTTGATTACGACAATTTGGCCAATATTTGCAACGCTGAAGTGTGCTACAAAAAATAACTAAGCAAGCTGATGCTTTAAAAAAAACAAGACAAAAAATAAATAAGCTCACCTCGGAACGCTATTACGGTCTGCCTTTTTAGCATCTGGCACACTTTCGTCAACAAATTTACCGGATATATCTTCGCTTTCCTCATTTACCATTTTTCTTGCGAGCAAAATAGATCTAGCGTCAAGTATCTCTGCAGAAGTGTCCAAGTTACCATGAGTGACAACCCGGGGACCTAGACGCGATTTAACACTAGGTTTTAATCCCACCAGGGCTTCGTCATTCATAGTAACTACGAACTTTGTCATTTTCTTTGGGACTTCTGATTCATCAGAGTCCAATGAGCTAGTAGTCTGGGAGGGCGTAACAATCTCTTTTCTATAAAGATAGTAAAATATAGCAATAAAAATAAAAAAGATTAGAGGACCTTTCAATGGCACTCACATGTCCGGCGACATTTTGATTTTTCGCTTAGATGCCAGTCTTTCCTTACTTTGAATCGCATTATTTTTTACATCTTCCATTGCTTGTTTTAATAACTTTCCACCAACAATTGGTAGATTTGGTTTTACAGAACTATCAAAAGACTTAATAGAACTGGATTTCTTATTTGAAACCTACAATCAATAAAAAAGGCCATTCAGTCAGGAAAAAAATTTAAACCGATTTACCTTGACAACAGAACGAACCACAGGCGTTTCATCTGATGATCTTCGCGAACCATTATCCTTCAAGCTTGAAGTAGCCACAACACGTCTTTGTTCTTTCAGTTCAAACTCAGGTTTACTTTCCGCTGCTAATTCATCCCTAAATTCGTCTAAAAATACACATAGATATTAACAACACAGCTTACTTTCTTCAGTTTGAAAATTTAAAACATCCTCCTCTAACTGAACATCTAAAGGCGGCTTCCGAGATCTCAAGGGCGAACGGGATAACTTCACTCCCGACGTATCTGAGCTTGACGATTTTCTGGATTTATCCTTTTTAACCACGTCCTGTGACTTAGAACTGAGCAAATCGTGAAGCCATTCTGTGAAGTGATCTGTATCATCACCCAAGAAGAGCTGTAAATCCTTTTTCATGCTGCTTCTCTTCTTCTTGTTGGCGACCATAACAGTTATGTAATCAGGGAGTTCCTCATCACCGAATGCATCCAATTCAATTAGCTTATTTTTGATCTGATCCTTAATTTGCGACAGAAACTCCTGATTGTAAGCCATTATGTAGTACAAAATGTGACGGCGTCAAAGACACCTTTTCTAAAATCGACTCAGCAAATTTGGAGTCATAGCCGATTAAAACAATTGATTTGAATAGTGTGTTAAAATGAATATATATCGTAGAAACCACTCATAAATCAAATCAATTTTATCTAATTCGCATTTAGAATTTATGACACTAACCTTGCAATAAAATATGAAACATAAGCTAGTAAAAATTCATCAACTGGACAAAATTTGTTTTGCTAATGAATTCTTATTTCGGCGTTCTGCCAATCAACGATTCTGTAATCCTAAAAAATATACTTGGCATCTTGGGAAATTGTGGTTATAGGTCTGAATTAAATTGTCATATTTTCATAATGACATAAACTCATCTATCTCTTTTGCGTATATTTTTTCTGCCCATCAAATACCAAGTTAGCCAGTTTATATCACATAGTTGCAAGATTTTACTTTGCATTTTTTCGCATTTATTACAAGACGAAATACACATATGCTTGTAATGTTTTGTATCTCCTGAGGCGTTTAACTATTCTAAATTTCATACGTATATGCAATAGCTGAAAGTCAAATTTTCTTTCTTGATCTCTGCATACTTTGGTTTAAAATATTCAGTAGTTGGCCGGTTGACCTCATTTATTTCTGAAATATTAACTTTTGTTAAACAGTTTTCTTGCCAACTTTTCTCTAGTGTTTCCTAAACGTTGTGCAATATTCTGGCTTTTTACGCACATTATATTAAATAATTTCCAACATACTCCCTTCGGAACTCAAAACCGTCGTAGTAATAGCTCGAAATGGCCTTGGCATCGCATGTCATTCGTAAACCAGTGCCTACTTCAGTTTAAATGCCGCGTGCAGTTGTGTAGTCTTTCCTAGTTCTCTAAGAAATTTACTTAGTCCTTTTATGCCCTTGAAGTTTGTGTACTTAGTTACTCCATCTCATGTTTCAAACGGAAATGCAGACGAAGTGACGAACTTTTCTTCATGCCTCGTGCACCATACCGATATTCTCTCAATGGCTGCTTTAAGTTATTCCTTTGTATATTCTCAAACTATATCCTTTACTTAAATCATATATAATAGTCTACTTGAATAAGTTGGGAGCTTTGTGCTAATCAAACGGACATTCTGGACATTTTTGATTTCAGAATGAAGGATTAATTTTGTTAGGAAATGCTCAAATCGATTACATTCTTGGTCTTAAACTGTAGGTCGTGTCAACTCCTTTATAAATTTGGATAGTGAATGAAAGAGGAGATCAGATTATTGGTGATGAGTAGAACTTAGCGAAACCAATTCGATCACAATAGTGCTGCAGTCAACTCGATTTCAAATGATAATCAGTTTCTTCATGCCTGACGCTGATCTCATCAAATTCGAGGACTTGTTGAAAAGCAAGAGATGTGAATTCTCGAATGGTAAGTTGACCTAAGTTCGGTTAATGCTTAATAAATATTCAATTAATTCAGGCTTCCGTCATTATTCCTTTCAGTCCTTTTGCGAAGCATGTGGAAAGTTCATAATTGAAGTGCATTAAAAGTCTTAATAATCCGCTTTTGATAGCAAACTGAACACGTGAGGCCTCTCAGTTGTTCATGTTCATGATATATTGCGCATTAGGAAGACCTTTGTTTATTGAAATATTCCAAAGCTAGGACTAATCCATCAAGTATTAGATGGATTTGAATAACTGAATTCAGGGCTAAATACATTTTTTTGAGGAGCTGTCAACAAACTAAACATTAGAGGTTATTATATGCAGGAGCAGGATTTAAAAAGGGACCTGCGTGGATAAATGACGCATGCGAGAGTAAATGTAGTCACGTGATCAATAGTATCTCATCGATCATTTATTAAGGTCCCCCAAAGTGACTAGTTGGGGTAACCTGTTGCCAAGTTCACATACTGAAAGTAAATAGAAGTAGTAGATTTTGAGGATAAAAATCATGTTGCTTTCTTTCCAAAGCTAAAAATTAGTGAACCAATAGCAAATTATCGTGACATTCTTTTCGCTTTCATTTCCCATGTACAATTTCTTCTATACCTAACTAATTAGACACGAGAATATGCTGCAGTTAATGAAGAACGCAGGGATACTTTATTTATCACTAAGTTCAATAGGTTTCCAAGAGCTCTATATCTGACGCCTTCCTCGATAACCACCACACAAACCCACCACCAATGATTGCCTTTTCGTTCACTACTTAACTAGGAGAAGGAAGCCATAGACTGCGGAATAAAACGGGTTCCCTTTTCTGGATGTTTCATGAGTCTTAAAAGTCGTTGAATAATTACCACTCATAAGATATGATTTAGAATGGAATTGAATCATTTGATTTTGTAGTTTTAAGTTGATATTTCAATGTTAATTCAAGTACCGTTTGATTTTCTTACCAATTGGTGACAAAGTTGCTCCACAAAGGTTTCCGCGAAGTGAATGAATACTTCCCAGAGAGCTTTGATACAAGAAGTGCAAATTTCAGAATAATAATTTATTTGATTATCAATGCCTTCATTTAATTTAAAGGAAATTGGAAATTGAGTTTAATACGCAAAACCACGAAGTGTTATGTCAACTAAGCGCGAAGGGAGAAGAAGCGACGAAAATGGCGAGAATAAATAGAAATCAAATATTTAAGGCGATAAGATGGAAGAAGAGGAAATGGAATGCAGAAAAATATGACTTCAAGGGAATTAAGCTTAATAATGAGTGCCAGGGTAACCGGTGAGAATGTGGAGAAATGTTGTTCAGGCATGCATGGCAGAGAATTTTGCAATCAGACCTCTGGCCTGGCCTTGACTTGGAAGATGCTCGCTTGGCTCTATGGAGACTCTTAAATAAAAGATTTAAAAGCATAAAATTCGTTCAAAGAAATAAAAAGCAATTCATGAATATTAAGCAAATTTGCCTTGGTTTGGGAGATTGTTGCTCTTCGGTAACGCCGGCCGAAAATTTTGCAGCAATTGATTTAGCCGTATTCGGAGGGTATTTAGGTGCAGAATCTGATTGTGCCGACTAAAAATACCAATGTTACTCAATTAATATCAGTAAAACCTTCCAAATTCAAATTGAAGAAACAAAGCACTGGGCTGTCACATGCATCGAGACTCAAAAATACCCATAAATCAAGGGAATAAAGACCTCGCATCAGAAGTCACGTTGTGCCTCATTAGTATTCGTTTTGCTCCCTATTTCAGGCTCGCAAAAGTTGAGCATAAATTCAGGAACTAAATAACGACTTTCAGAAAAAAAAGAATTTGCTCACCAGCCCGTGGGAATATCAAACTCCCAAATATCCTTAAAAGTGATAGATCTTTAAGTAAATTCGTGAAAACCAAATGTAATTGGAGAGAGAGACAAAGCCAGCTTAATAGGCATTATTATAAGTATTACTCATTTGGACCACATACCTCATCTTATTAAATGAACAAAGGACACTGAATCTTTTCGCTTTCACAACTGTACTGGCAAGCATTTGCATTCACATTCTCCCTGCCTAATATGCTCCAGCCAAGCGACGCCTTAAAGTATCCAATCAGAGTTTTCAGACTTTGAACATCGAAGCCGACTGTACAATCCTATGGATATTAAAGCCAACTTTGAAAGTGAAATTTAGATCTAATTATAAAACTTCGATTAAGAATCTATCTTCCCTACATAATTGCAATCCCAACCCTTACCTTACCCCAAAAATTAATAAAAAACTGGACAAGACCTAAATAAAGCTGCTGTTGGCAAGGTATTGCTTAGGCAATATCACCAGAATCCCGACTCCTTTTATTGGGTATAACTCAACAAAAATCCCAATTTGGCTACACTTGCCATAAAAGGGCAAGACGAAAGAGAGCATGAGAGCGCGCACGACCAAGGTCGTCTCTTTCTAACCAATCAGAAGAGCAATCAATGACTGTTCACGCTTACGTCCAAGTGCTCGTGGGCGTAGGAAAACAATGTGTCATACACTTCGCGCTGGTGACTTACATTCGCGGCCGATTGACCGATTTTAAGAGCTTCAATGTTGCTCCATTGTTCCACTAGGCGTTTAGCAGATCCCGTAGGCGGGAGAATATCAGCACTTGGTGCCTCTTCCTCAGGCTGCAACTCCTAAACAAAAAAAATGAGTAGTAGTAGTAGTGACGACATGATTCAAACATTTTTTTATACCAACCTGACCATTTGATTTGATCTCCTTTTCCTCCACAGATCTCGGAGACTCCAACTTCAACTTTTCGTCCTCATGCTTTTCTATGGGCACGTGAATCTCTTCCTCTTTCGCTAAAATAGATTATGCATGCAATTTAAGCTCTTAAAAAGAAGTATCTTATACCTGTGTGTGCGTCTGTATAAGTGGAATGAGTCATTAAGAATTGTAAAAGGTCAGCAGTTGTTCTAGTTTTCAGAAATCCTTCCTAGCCAACGACTTAAACCATCTGTCCCGCTAAATCGGGCTTCTTCTCTTTGTTTACCACTGACAATTAGCTGCGTGCGTGCGTGCATTTGCGCAAAATTGATAAATGGCAATCGAACTTACGGGTCTGCAAAGATGAGGGGTTGTCACAATGGAGCTTGCAGAATGGCTTGCCTTCGATCAGTTGATAGTTTTCATCTCTGAAAGAGACGTAAGCCGTTAGTCACAGAAATGGCAAGACATCTGAGACTGGGGAGAGGAGAATGACTCATACTTAACAAATTCTAATGGCTTTGTGACTAGCGCTTGACGCACAAAGAAAAGTCAATAGAGCATCTCGAGGGGCTCCAAATCGCCCTTAATGTAAAAACAAATATCATGAAAAATCGACTGGGTTAACTTGATTTTTAAACTTAGTACAAGTCGCATTTCGCTTCGTTAAGTTGATCTCATCTAAAGCAAAAACAGTGTTACTTTACATTGTCATGCGCCCAATTAGCTACTAGAGAAGATTAATATGTTGAAGTACCAAGGCTGAAACAACTGCCTTGTCGGTCTTACGAACGTGAAATAACTTAATCAGGGACCAACTCCTGAAATTTAGCATATGCAACGCAGACGGACTGTACTCACTAAGGGTGGGGGATGGTAGTCAAAATGGCACTATGCCTGCATGTAATTCTCTCTTTGTTCAAATTACAGTGTCCTGACATAATTAAAGCTGCTGAGTGATCTATTAGCAAATGAGGTATAGCCGGGTAAAATATCGCGAGTTCCTTGTATTAACAAAGGGGAGAATTTAGAGGAGAGTTGATGGAAAGTTGTTTTGTGAATCATAAGGACGAAGAAGGAACTAACTTACGAGATGGGGGTGTTGCAGTGAACGCAAAGGAAGCAATTTACATGAAAATGTAGCGGCGACGGAGAAAAGTCGTTGATTTTATTCTCAGCCAAATTAATTAATTCACCACATTTGAGACACTTCGTACATTTGTGCTCTTCTTCCTTCTCCAACGCAACCCCTTCAACGGGTTTTGTATCGTCAATCTGGAGAAATTGTACAAAAAGGAACAGAAATTAGTTTATGCAAAAGAACTCAAATGAAAACTGAACGGCTGATGAGCCCAAATACCAAAAAAACAGCTCTACTCTAAAATTTTAAAGTCCAAAAAATAAAAAAATAGGAAGCCCATTTAATACACACTAGACTTGGAATTATGTCACTACAAAAATAAGACCTCAGTCAGTTAAAAGACTAATAATCACAAATAATTTCAGTAAAACGCACACTTTTCCCTTGAGAAGAAAGCACCACATGTTCAGAGGTTTCCAAAAGGGGAGACTGGGTTTCCATGATAACAGCAGGTGCAGTCTCGTCAATCTGGGAAAAAAACAATATTCAGCACTCCGAGCAACTAATAAGACAAGTACATTTGTCTTATGCTTACAATAGCTGAGGAAGCGCCGTTAATTTGTTTAGGTTCTTCATAATCGCTCTCTTCGGATACACTCAGCTTCTCAGCCTTTTCCTCCGTTGGCTGAGGGAGAAAGTAGATGGGTAAAAAGTAAGTAGATGATGAAGCTTTGAGGTTAAAGTGAAATTCAAGAAAACAGATCTCTGACTCTAAGGGCTAGACCCATAGCTCATGGAAATATGAATGCTAAGGACTCTGTAAATAAGTGATGACAAATAAATGAATAAAATAAAATTGCAAAAGGAGGGAGGATATTATATGGGTCAATTTTATAGACAAGGGCTATGATCATTCAAGCAAGAAATAAAAAGGTCAAGCAGAAAATTTGGCAGGATATGACATTACCATCCCAGATTTGGCAACAGTAAAATGAGGTCAAGCAGAAATAAATATGGCGATCAGAATATTTTAAGCAAATTAATAAGGAGCACACAATACCTGATTTATAAAGTGATCTTCCTTTTCATGCTCAACAGGGTTATTAAGTACTGCGTCAAGTTCACAGTTTCTCAGTTCTTCTTCGCTTGCCATATTCTCAACTATAAATAAAAGCCAATTATGCCATCAATTACAATTTATCAATAAGTAGCGATTGCGTTGAACTCACGTTCATCAGAGCTAAGCTTCGCCTGGGACAAATTCTCTGAGAAACTGATATGGTGCTGAATTTAGATAAAAGTACACATCAGAGGAAAATGGATTTGCGTTTACTACGAATAAAAGAAATATTTTGTCTCTAAAAAACTTACTTGAACGGCAGATATCTCCTCGGCAGATTGTTCCATGGCTAAATAAACTTGAAGCATAAAATTAAGTAAGAGCACATTATTACAATACACAAAAACAAAATTTGAATTGGGTTAAAAGAAAATAAAGATCAAATGATGAAACACAAATGTAAAATCAAAACAAGATCAACGCAAACGAGACTGCAAGAGGACGTACCACGACGATACGCGACAAAGAAGAATGTGTTCGAAAACCCACCTCCTGGAATGTTTAATTAAACAGATCAAATTAAGAATATGATTTCAAAAGAATCATTTTCATAAAATAAATATTAAGATTTCATTTGAAAGGTTAAAATCAAAATCACAATAATTATATTTTATTTTGTTTATTTAAAATTCGCATCTTATTTACTCAAAAATATATTATAGGACTAAACTTAGCATCTCTCATTTTCAAACATTTTTCAACATTATTTTGTTTAGTGTAGATATTAGGTATTATTTAACCGTTTTATAAATTGGTAGGCTGTGTGTTGGTTATCATTAGTATTTTAGTTGACTTCTTGCTTCATGTTGTGTACGAACATCACTGTCACAATAAATAGATCGCGGAAAAAAGTGATTTACCAATTAAAATTCAACACAGTCACAAAGGTAGAGAAAAGGTAAGGTGAGTACCGTGAAAGGGGTCGAATGCGATATACCTGACATCTAGTGTTTGAGAATGATAGTCTCTTCAAACGACAATAGCATAGAATCATGTGCGTAGCTGTGTTTGAAAATCCACCATTACGCAAATACCTATTTTCCCGACGTGACATTGTTATCGAAATAAGGCTCGCGAAATTACGAAGTATATGATGTATGCAAAAAAATTTATTTGTTTCCCTTCCAACAAAGACCGGTCAAGAAAAATAAGGGATTTGACTAATTCACAATTTGCGGCAAAATTCCACCATAAATTACTACAAATATCCTGAAGGATGGACTTTTACATTTTTTTAAACAAAATTCGGACTAAATTATTCAATGCTCACGAGTGGCAATTGTTAATTATTATAATTAATTATCTACTACAAACGCCCGTATATTTTCTAAACAACTTCCCTTAGATTTTGCTCAAAATAGATTTTGATGCAATATATTTGACATTAGATTAATCCTATTCACCGTAGCCATGACCATAGTTGGTATTATTATTTATGAGCATATTTCGTGAACGAATATTTTATAAGCTATAACACGTAAGAGCGTGCTTGACTTCAAAAGTCAATGAAGCTTTAATAGTTCCCCAAGTAGTTATAAATTCGAAATTTAGGCATTTTATATTATATGTTCATTTAAATTATACATCAATTTTTTAATAAATGTTTCAAAATTTGGCTTTTGAATCTGTTCATTTTTTGAAGGATTTCATCACATCTGTTTCCATTTGGATACCAATGATTTCCCACAGGATATAAGAACTGATTGTATCCAAATCTGTGCAATTAACGCTATTCATTCATAGTGTCAGAGACATAGTTTAAGCCTACAGGGTTGGTTTTTGTAATTAATCCTTTGGATTCTACTAAATCCATTCCTATCTTATGCTATTGAAACTTTCCCTATCTCAAGTTTCCTACCTGTTCATTTTCAAGCATTGTTTTTAGTAAAAGTTTCATAATATTTTTATCTATTTTCCTTAACACTAACCTGAAAATAAGAGTGATTTCAACAATTAAGAGATTACCAAATGAAAATAACAATCGTATTGAAACATGAAGAGTTGGTGCCATTCAAAATAATTTTGTCATGATCTTTAAATAATTTATAATCACTAGAGTTACTAAAACACATCTAAAAATGTCCAACATGATAAGGCTAAGATTTTAGAGGTATACAGTATTTTTATAACTAGTAATTTATTAAATTTCAGAGGACGAAATTGATTTATGTCCTTCTTGTTATTAAATACATATTGGATCCAGTATTTCTAGAAGACTCATCGTGAAGCCTGATAAAATATCTGCGTTACACTATAGGGAACCTGGAAATCTAAATTTCTCATGCTCCGGATTAATGATGGCATTGGATTCCCCGTAAAACTACTTGTGCGAAAGCAGTTTCCAGAATGTTGGCTCATTAAATAAACAAAACATATCAAGATTATTTATGCAAAGCTTTATCAAGCAAAAGAGCCGCTTAATCGACTTGTCTTTCCATTTCCTTTTCCATTAAGCTGAATAACTGTGACTTTTAAATAGATATTTAGATATAATGAATGTTAATGCACAATTAAAATGTATCGTTCAAATTGAACATATACTAACAAACTTCATATTTTTCAGATGCATGTAACTTAACTTCTCATTGAATTTTAAAATGTTCAAATTAATAGTAATGAATCTAAATATATCAAACTACTCTTTAATAAGCGATGCAAAGTCTACAATTTTAGTTTGTTTTAGCACGCCATGATTTTCAAACTTTGTCAGCTGACTACACTTTTCTTGTACATATTCCTCTTTCGTACTTTTAGTCTATTCAGGGTATTTTAGTACATAATGCCTCGTTCTTCTCAAAACAAAATAGTTCAGATGAATAATTCAGTCAAATTGAAGCAGAGAGGTATACATACTCAGTACATATTTACTTGAGTTTTAGCTCAATCCGAACTAATTGCTAGTACTTACGATGAACCAAATGTTTATCTGCATCCACAATGGTCTAATAAACGCGTACCAATACGGCGTGGCTATTGTCAAAACGTTCTCGAAATTACCCAAAAAGAAAACCCAGGAAAAGTGGAATCAGCAGGATCAGTTGATTTTGTCACTGCAAATTGTCAGATATTGACAAATCGAACAGAAGGGGAGGATGAATTCTTCTTATGTCCCGACATTTTATTCCCTTGGAATCGGGTCATCGGCGTTAGGCACTATCAAACAGAAGTTTCGGCATGCCCAATTTGTCTCGAAGGCCTTACAGCCCCTCGAATGGGCAGATGTGGTCATATATACTGTCTTCCCTGCATAAAGCATTGCTTGCGCGACGGAAGTGATTTCAATAAGTGTGCTGTTTGTTTTAAACAAATGGAACTGAGTGATTTGCGCAGGTAATTACTTTACCACGGTTAAAACCTTAATTGGTGTAGAGTATACATTATTCCTTCGGCCGCACTAAATGTGGGCGATAGAGTTACTTTTACATTGATGCGTAGACCAAAACAATCTATTTTCCCTAAGGTTGTTTGCGATACAGGGAAGCAGCATAGATTTTTATCCCGCTTCGATTCGGTGGATCTTAAGGAACAGCTTATTCAGATTGAGGAGGAAATTAAGGCCTTGGAGAGTTATGCGAGAGATTACGAGTTCTATGGTTCTTCTGAACTCTCGATGTCTGCGAAATCCAGTATCCGGAAGTTGAAAAGTGAGAGGAAAAAAGTGCATTGGGAGATTGAAAATGTCCCTCCATCGGATTTTACGATGGATGTTGAGTCAGATAACAGCTATGTGTACTACCAGAGTAAGAAGATGGTTTGACAAAAAATCGTTTTAGTGATTGATGGAAATGACGTGTATCTGCATAGTATTAACTGGAAATGCTTGCTGGAGGATTATGATGTGGCTGATTTGCCCCCAGAGATCTTTGGAAAAGTTGTTGAGGTCGATACATACACCATGAATTTGGATTTGCGTCGCCGATATGGTTATCTGAAGCATCTTCCCCTCGGCCGCACATTCTCAATTGTGGAGATTGAAATTGAGAATCCAGTGATATCTGAAAAGACTCTTGAAAAATTCTCTGAAAGTATTGCTCGTCGTTTGCAGATTCGTTTGAATCGCCTAGAACTAGAGTTGGAATTCGATATTGAGAAGGAACGTGCTGAAAACTCCTATAATAACAATCTTGGTATGCTTTAATCACCTTTAGAAGTCGAACAAGATTTTAATGCAATTTTGTTTTTATTTTCTCTAGACCCGAAATCGCGAATCGTTGGATGTGCTAAGTTGGAGGGAGCCTCTTTCACCTCCGATGACTTTGTTCCCTTGGAGGTAGCTAGTGCTTCCTCGTTCTCAATTTCACCTAAAACGCCTGTTTTTGCCAGTGTTAGTTTCACTTCTTTTTTTATTTTTAAATTCTATAAATTATCATTCCTTATTTGTTAAAAATTCTGTAACCACTCGAATTTTATTACTCAGTCGATGCTAATATTTTTTCAACACATTTGTATTTCATAATGATATGCAACTTTGGATCGTTGTGATTAATGCTTTGAAGTTGATTGTGGATCATATAAAAGAAAATATCGAAATTGTGTTCATTATCTGTTCATCGGTCGCTGATATCTGAAGAATGTTTACATATTTAAAAAAATGAATATTTTCTGCCTTTATAACTGTCTCCTTTGGTTCACTGGTGAAGTCGTTGATCAATCGCAATCGTAGTAACCAATTTTATGTTTCATATTCGTTAGTTAAGCTTAATTACTTCATTTTGGAAAAGGTGATCTGCTACGTTGACATTTCCTTAGGTAAAAGTGTGATTTTGATTTTTTTATTTCCAGTCATCAGCGGCTAGTTTAAAAACGCTGGAGTCATCGATTGGAGGAACTTCTAGCAAAGGAGCTTGGTCCAAGTTTTCCTCAAATCCCCTAAGTATTGAATCGGATTTCCCACCTCTTAAAGCTTTAAGCGGCTCGACTCTGGATACTGCGCAACCAACTCCTGGCAATCAAAGTAAAAAGCGCCGTCGAAACAAACGGAAGAATAAATGTGCAGAAAATTCCTTTAATGATTCTAATCTTCTAGAAAAAGAATAGCAATTATTTTATTAATATGCTCTTCTACCTCCCCATCCACTTCTTATTCTGTATTTCTTTGTTGTCATCTTCCCTGTAGATATTACACATCAAAGGACGCCTTGGTTTTTGTCATTCTCCCTATTTCTGATTAATTTTAATTTATCTTTGCACGTATGGGATCTGTTTTATAAACATGTAGGAAACCAATATTTATTTATTTATATCAAATGTCAGGCGTTTTGATAGTTATCATTAGCCCTTTAGCTCACTTCGGACACCACAGAGAGGAGGTAACATCAGGTGAAAAAAGTCGAGAGGGGGGGGGCAGAGACAGACAATGGTAGAAAATAAGTGAGGTGAGTTCTGTGGATATGATCGAATAGAGCCTGAAGTCTGCTCGCGGGAGTTTGAAGTCAGAAGTCAACTGTCGAATAATAGGCCTTATTGTCGCGTGAATACGTAGCCCAGGGTGCACCACGTGGAGGTAGGACGATCGCACACCCCAGGAAACCAATATAGAATCCCGAGTACAATAGGGCTGTCGGTTCTAGGGTGGACTTACAGGTGGTTAATTAAAGATTGTAATTAGGTGGAAATTATTCATTTATATCAAATGGCAGGCTTTATGATAGTTATCTTTAGCCATTTAGTTGACTTCAGGCTTCACAGAGGAAGAGGAACATCAAATTGAAAAAAGTCAAGAACGGTGAACAGAAGAGTGCTTAAAGATGTTAAAAAGACAGACAGATACAAAGGCAGAGAAAAGGTAGGATAAGTTGAAAGTGATCGAATATGACATACAATGGTGATCATGGTTGTTTGAAGTCAGAAGTCGACTGCCGGTTTAAGTTTGAAGTCAGAAGTCACCTGCCGATAAATAGACTTTTTGGCCGTATGACTATACGTTGCCCAGTGTGCACCACGTGGAGGAAAGTCTATCGCACACCCCAGGTGGGAATTATCGAATAGATAAGACCGAGGGCATTCACTGAAATATAAAGGTGCCCGATATATGGACCGCCGGCAAGAGATTGTTAAAAAAACGAAATAAAAGACAGATTATGTATGAAAAGAATAATAAATGGTTTCAGATAATTTAAGATTTCATTTTTTAGCATGAAAAGTATAAACTAAATTTGCATAATTTCTAGAAATGTGTTTGAGTGTGCTAATAATTTAAGTAAAGGCACCCTACACATGTAAAATCTTCAGTCTATTCATCATAACAGGCCTATTTGCTCACATGCGGTCATTTCTTTCCAGCCTTCAATCTCGTCTAACCGCAGAACTAGAAGAACAAAATGCTCTGAACCAAAATATCGAAATGGAAGGATTGTTACCATTTCGGACAATGGAGGATCTGGACACTTTCTTCCAACCTACAGACTTCCAAACCTCAAGAAATATTGATACATTCTATGGTTCCTTAAAAGTCTGTCCGGTTTCTGACAGGCTTTTGAAGTTGTTCCTGAAAGATAACTGCACGCTTCAACGAATATGTACTTTATATTTGCCTCAATCGCCGACGATTATAAACGAAACGGACGATCTCTTTGAATCTAGGAGCCTTTTATCTAATCTAGTTTTAACTGTTTGTTTCATATTAATTTAATGACACTTTCAGAATTTTTATGTCTTTTGGTTCCCTATGGTCCATACCGAATATATTAAACACGAACGGGCTGCTGAAAGTTTAGAATCTGTTCGAATATTTCTTGCTGATTTGCGCGTCTTTGAATGCCTTTTCGATTTAGCAAGGTATGAGTTATAATCTATATTGATAAGTGAATTGTAGAGACCAGCAGCAGTTTATCTACTCCTGGATGCAAAACTTATGGATATGTAATTATTTTATTTTGATTTCATGTTAAATTATTTAATTAGCCGATAATGATGAGAATCCACC